AAGGCACTTGTTACTACTAGTAATGCCCTTTGCTACTAGTAGCTTCTCGTTACTAGTAGTAAGGCACTTGTTACTACTAGCGTGGCACTTGTTCCTAGTAGCGATGCACTTGTTACTACCAGCTATCGGTGACCTCCACACGACCCGCCTCCGCCGAGGCGTGCAAACCAGGTCGGGCGAAACTCTTCGGCGCATGCTTTGGCGCCGTCAGACGCATGCGCAATCCGCGGGTTGGGAATTGGTGAGCGATGAACCGGAAGGTAGGCTAGCATCAAAGTTCTGCATTCTCGGAAGCTACCTAAGCTGGCGCAGAAATATGTTTAACAACAATCCCTTTGAGGTTTTTTGAGGTTGATGGAAAAAGAAACATCTTGAGGATGGCCTCTATGGCTTCATGTGAGTGGGTTGTGGCTGGAGGACATCCTCGGGTTCAGTGACCAGCGAGATTCTCCGTCCCACAAGAGAGAGGTTTCACCAGCTGCTCGCACCTTGTCAGTTCAAACCTCTGGCCAAAACAAGTGGAACAACCACACCTATGTCCTCTCTTCCATGGTCTTCGCCCGCGCCCGCAGATACTCATGCATCCATCAATAACAAGTCCAGCGGATGGCGCTAAGGTGACCAACCCATCACGGAAGGCGACATGACAACACCTGGGCGCTGATGGTTCCGATGGCACCGGACATCCGCATCTTTGCATCATGGTGGATCCAAGTTGGTCATGAAGGCACCTTTTTTGCCCGAGCAGTAACAATGTTCGCTACTAGGGGCTCCTGGCATCGCTTCTAGGAGCATTCTTGCTACTAGTAGCAAGAAGCTCACCGTTTTCGGAACAAGCCTGGAGCGGCGTCTCTGCCCACTTCACCATGCAAGTCATGTGGCATTTATGTGGCATCCTCCGAATCCCATGGAAATCACGGGAGGTCCTCTGCCCGCTATCTGAGGGTGTTCTGGATCTCTTGTTCATCCACTGTTGCTGCCTTATCAGACCTACATGATGATACAACCCTCTTCCTTGAACCCATGGCCATCGTAGGGCCACCCTGACGTCCCGATTCTGTTTGTCTCCCTTTTGTTTGCATCACCGAGGTACTGGAATAATTGTGAGCTCCAGAGTTGCTCAAGAGGAACTCTTCGACATTGGTGCCTGGGGTCTCGTCGCCCGACGGCGGGTCGCCGTCACCAACGGGACCGACGAACGGGTGCCATGAAGGCGGGCGACGCGGCGACGCGACTTCCGTGCTGTCGCACACGGGGAGATGGCGGCAAGTCGCTCACAGGCCGAGGTGTAGGTAACTTGGCAAGCCCAAACAGGATTGACTCTGTGTCTATGCCGAGATCCTGAAGTTCTTAGAAACAGAAACATCACAACCTCTAAGGACAAGAAGAGCTCTTGGCAACGGCAAACGTGTCACTACTCCGATGCTAGCAGTCAACCACAAAGTTCCTCTCCGACTGCAAACATCGGCACCGGATGCTTCACCGCACATGCCTCACCTCAGTTTAACCACCACTGACCACCACTGACGTCCGAGAAGCAATTGAGCTCCTTTTGAAAGAAGGGATGGTTCTTCACCTCGCCACCGCGGCAAGCCAGCAAGTATGCGGCAGTTGTTTGAGTGTAGGTGTGATTGTTTGGTAAGATGTAACAAGCATGCAGAAGGATCATCTGAATCAAACGTCAAGCAAACCTTTCTAGACGCATTCTGGTGGAATTAGCAGTTTCTTGCTTTTTTCATGCTTTTTCTGCTTTCAAACTTTACGTCTCAATGTAGAACATCCAGAAACATGATGCAACATCACAGCCAAAATGTGCTCATTGGCAGGTACAGAAACCAGCTGATGAACTGGAGTCAAAAATCCAAAAAAACACCCATGAAGAGTTGAGTAGTTCCTTTGACCGATCGAACTTTCAGGCTTCAAACAAAAAAAGTGGAAACATTCAGTGAACAGCTTAAGTCCGCATTTCCATGCTTTGAGACTGTATGAGGCTTCTTCACATCCCCTCCGCTCAAACCGAACTGGAAAATCGCCCGAAACTCTCCCCAAACTCCGTTCTCTCGCTGCGCACAGCGCCTCGCCTCGGGGCTTTTTAGCTCAAAGCGCCTTGCTTGGGAGAAGGGCAGCAACTTCTCCACCAGCAGGTGGAAGGCCTCGCCATGGCAAGTCGGTTGGAGGTGGGTTGGTTCCTAGGTTGGAGGCGACGCTCTTAGGACTGGGTGGATGGGACATCCGTTCCCAGAGTCGAACGTAGTTCCCGGTGCGGGTTGGACCGGAGAAATGGATGGCTCGTCTGGTGTCGCAGACCTTGTTCCGTTCCAGTCTGTCGAAAGGGCATGCGCCGTTTGAAGTTGGCACCGCAGAGTTTCAAGTTAGGGAGTTGATATGTATAAGGGAGGGATACAACTCCACCCCATCTAAGTTGCTCTTGCAAGCCTCCGACCCTAAGCTGGAAGTGCATACACGGCCACCCTACCCCGGTCCCACCCAGTGGACTGAAAGCCAGATTAAGCCGAGACAGGATCCAACACCAAGCCCTTACTTGCTGTAAATTCCATGTCAATCCCTTGTCAAGGAGTATCTTCCCAGATGCCTTCCTTCATCCTCGGAAAAAGTCTCGCGCGTCTCGCGCCTTCCGCACGTCGTTCGATGTGCTAAGCTCCACCGAGCTTAGCTCGTTGCTTTTGCTTCGTCCGGGGTTGCTCAACATGTCTCGCAAAGCCGTGGTTCCAGCGGCCGCAAAAAGGGTAGTTTGGTACCATAGTACCGATACCGTATACCTATATGGGTTGTACATGGTTGTGTACTTGTACATGGTATTCGCTCGATTAATCAACCAACCAATTGGTAAACAAGGCATAACAAGGCTAACAAGGCGCCGGACCTCCTCTGAGAGCCGCTGGGACAACTTCAGCTGTGCCAGCATGTCGGCGTTCTCTTGCTCGCTGAGGTGGAGCGGCAGCCTGGGCGGATGAGATTGTCATGACGATGCAATCTACGGTGCAGCAAAAAGACGTTCATTAAATTGTGTTCGGGCCATTTGGAAGAAGCACTCTCCACCAGCAGCAACCCATTTTTTGTCGGCAACAGCTGGATCGCCTGTCAGAGTTGGGCTTGGCAAGTTTTGAGAAAAGAATAAGTCTCTCTCTCGCTCCTTCTCTGGACCGGAGGTGACCCATGGAAAAGACCTTGCAGTTCCTTGCAGAAAGACGACCAACGGAGGTGACCAGGTCTCCACACATCATTGGCCCCTTCCGCTTCACCGTCTTGCGTCGAGCTCCGTCCTGTGGGGCGGGCGAACCGGACGTTTGAACCGTTGCCCGGAGGACGCGGCCCGGAAGGCTTCGTCCTTCCGAAGGTATGGTGTTTCCTTCAGGCTTTTTCAGTTGTGATTTGTCATTCGAAAGAATCTGCTTCAGGACTATGACTCTGTAGCACAGGAGCTTCAGATTCACTGGTTGATGCGGTCGCACCTTAAAACGGTCCCACCCACTGCGCTCCTCTCCAAGTAGAGACACTTGAAGCGTCACCCCAAAGGAGTACCTTGCCAACTAGGGACTGAAGGAGTAAGAAACCACGAGAAATCTGGTCGGTACAGGTGAAACAAAAGGAATTCACCGCAACACAAGCGTGGGGCAAAAGGGGTGCAAATCCGGCTTGAGGTGCGTGAAACATATATATATATATAAAAGGGCTTGCAATGATTGAACCGTCCAATCAAAGGAGTTGGGTCTGCTCAAAAGCACCAAAAGTAGGGGTGTCTCACTCGATTTAAGTGATACAGGCTACGCAAAAGTAGATGAAGACGCCCCATGTTGGAGTCCATTTTTCCTGGCCTAGCCAGAAAGATCCTTGCAATGTTCAACTCAACACTCCCCAGCCAGAATGTCTCCCAATTACAAAAAAACTAGATGCTTTCCACTACTGGTACTACTTCCATTCCGGGAGAATGACGAAGCCAAAACCGATCCACCGATCCCCCTTTAACTCTCTTGTTACACCAACCAGCGATCCGACCAGCGCCCCGGCAGCGCACGCATCCGTCTTGAACGGATTGAACTCCGGTGTGGGATCTGTGGAGGACCGCCGAAGGGCCACGAAACAAAACGAAAAACAAGATTTGTTCAAGAAAATAAAACCAAGGACGAGTGTAAAACCTCTTCTACCACTCGCGCTCACGAGGTCAGGCGTGAGACTCTGCCGCAAGCTACCACTTGCTGGCACCCAAATGTACAAAAAGGACCCAAAAAGGGTCACCCCAAGGACGAGTGTAAAACCTCTTCATATGTGGAAGCTTTATTAATTAAGATGTTCTACATTGCTGGGTTAATTCTTGGCGGCTTTGATCACCGCATTGTGGATTCTAGGAGATTCGAGGCGCTTCTGAGAGCCGTTTCCGCTTGCTTTGACCACCTGAGGCCTACAACGAGTCCTTCTCAATATAGAGTTCAAACCGAAGGCCTCCATGTTTCAAAACAGGTAATTAAGATCTGCCTAGAAGTCGAAAGACTAGATGTTGCTCCAATGAAGTAGAGGATGTTCTTCTTGAGGTCCCCATAAAGACCGTTCTTGCCACAGTCTATGACTCTCAGGGATCTTGTATAATTAATTACTCTTGGTCCAATCACTTCAAGCATTTGTCGATCCACTTATATATAGATCCATTTAAGATATTATGTCAACCTAAGTGTCTGAAGTGTCATCCGTCTCTTCCCCCTGTGTTTCTCTCTGAACAATAAAGAAACAAAACTCACACTTAGATCCAGTTTTAAGGGTGGATGAGATGGAAACCCAACAGCTGTGGTCATTCTCCTTGGAGACAGGAGGTGACACACACACACACACCTCACCGGTCTCCGCTGCGCCCCCCTGCCGGCCTCCGTCCTCCTCCTCCTCCGAGTCGCCCGTCGGCCCGGTCATGGCGCCCTGAAGGGCCGGGATGACCGGGGGGGCCCGGCGAGTTCCGGATCCGTGCTAGCGTGGCACTTGTTTCTAATAGCTTCTTGTTACTACTAGTAAGGCAC